AATATTTGCCTTTCACTACGCCGTCTTCTTGTTGTGTCACGCCAAGTAAATTTTGGGAGCAAATGGTAGGATCACACTCATCTTTATTTGTGGTCCAATCCCAGAAAGGAAGGGAAAAATTATCATCACTTGCAATTTCCTGCAAGGTTCTTTCCCAGACAAGCATGTACAGTCGATGCCACGAAGGAAATCCCTGGCCGTCATGCGCAAAGTCAATGGCTGAATCTGTTTTGTTGTTTGGATGAATTGTGTCACGTGCTGCGTAATAATGCATCCACACGAACAGGTCATAGTTGGTGATGTTGTGAAACAAGGACGCGGGGTCTCCGCCAGCTTGCACGGTTCTGTTGATCTCTTCATAGGGAGTCGAAGTCACCACATAATCAGTTATAAAGTACTTGGACATGTTGATGTATCTCATGTAGCGATCCTTCTCCTCAGCTGACAATTTGGCAAAATTCTTCCTCGTCAGGGTCTTCTTTTGGGTGCAGTTGTTACCATAGTAACCAAACTCGCACTTGCTGCAGTCATAACCGGCGAAGTTTGATTGGCATTTACAGGTTTTGTGGTAGAGGGCATTTGGCCAGTCGTGACGCTCGTCTTGCAACTGGAATGTCTTGAAATGACTGTAGGTAAAATTCCATTCACGAATCATTAACTCCTGGCACGTGCCTCTGTTGCCATCGCTACCGCAAGGCGCACTGAAGCCCTTTGGGATCGGACAGCACTCTTTGCTCTTCAGGCTGTCGAGCGTTGCGCAAGCCCTAGGAAACTGGCCTTCTATCCAGGGTAAACTTACAGCAATAAAATAAAGCACAAGCCAAGTGAAAGTGACTCTGCGGCTCATCTTGAACTTCCTAAAGCAATAAAAGCGAAGATCTTTTATTTCCAAGCAAGTTGTAAATTAGCAGGAAACAAAAAAAGAGGCATACAACGAGCCTCTTTGTCAGGAATACCGGAATATAATGCATGCCATGTGTACTTTGTGCGTACTAAAATATGCTGTAATCAATTAGCTTATTTAAATCCCTGCGGTAAATACTTTTTCTTGCGATTTCGACGAACTCAAGACAGAATAGAGGGTCTGTGGACAGGCTAAGGCAAAATACTTGACTAACGGATTGGATACTTGAGGATTCGTTTTGTTTGAACAGTTCATAATTAGTGATTGGCGCGTGAGCATTTCAATATATTAAAGTCCTCATACGAAGTTCTTACGAGATTGCACTACACGAAGTTCTCATAAGTTCGTTTTGATACTGTGAAGAGTCGTTGCAATGTAGTGCTGTGGGAAGAAAAAAAAATTAATACAACGTCTCCGCTACTTATCATGAATACACGAGGAACGGTATACAATTCAACCCAAGCCCAGAATGGTCTGCTATCACTGAGGATTTCAGACTACGAGCAGGTCCGATGTTTTCTTAATCCGTCGAGCGTGACGTGAAAGAACGCGTGCCTCCCTTCCCCCACTGTCCCCCTACCCCTACCCCTTCCGGTAGGGGAGGCCGGTTTCGGTGAGTTGAATGTTCATCCTACTAGGGTCGAACCGGCTTCTACAACGTAACAAGTGGTTTTTAACACTTTATTCACTTTATTAAAACTTAACGGCAAATACTTTTGCAATCTCGACAAACTCAAGACAGAATAGAAAGCCAGTAACGCAGCTTGGTTACTTGAAGATTCGTTTTGTTTGGACATTTTACAACAAGTGATTGACGCGCGAGCCTTTCAGTATATTCGGCAAGTGAATGTACATTCAACTTTGACCAGTCCTCATTCGAAGTTCTGATAATTTCTTTTCGAAACGAAGAGTCGTTGTAATGCAGTAAACAAAAATTTATTAATACAAAGTCTCGAATTTTACTATACCGTATTTAGTGCTTGGCTACTTATCAGAATTCACGAGGAAAGGTGTGCAAATCAACTCAAGTATAGAAAGTTCTGCATAGACTGAGGATTTCAGACAACGAGTAGCTCCCATATTTTCTTGGTCCGTCGAGCGTGACGCGAAAGAACGTGTGCCCTCCGTCCCCCACTGTCCCCTCCCTCCACCACTTCCGGTAGTGGAGGCCGGTTTCGGTGAGTTGAATGTTTATCCTGTACTACGGTGAAACCGGCTACTATAGCGTAACAGGTGGTTTTTTTAACACTTAATTCACTTTATTAAAACTCAACGAAGGACACTTCGAAGGAAATTTTTTAGCGCGAATTTCACATCCCTACAAACTGCTGTAGTTGGCCGTTGCTATGCAAATATCTTATAGTCTCGTGAGGCAGCTTGAAGCGCGAGTGGGTGCATGTCTATGCAGAAAAAGCATCAACTTCCTTGTCCTTCGAGGACTGATCGCTACAAGCGAAGGAAAAGTACCGAAACAAGAAAGTATGAATGTAGAAGATTTGTTTTTGTTTCATTTCATCATGAATTTCCGAGAAAGCGCTTACCGCATGCATTACTTTGTTTATACCGCTTTTGGAGATTCTGTTACAAAACTGATATCCTCAGTTGCAATGTTAAAATTTCGGTTTCAGTTATCACCCTCGGCAGTTCTGACCCTGTTTTCATATTTTTGAAGAAACTCGTCGTCAACCTTCGGCGTTCCAATAACTGCATATGTAAAGACTTCGGTGAAGAGGTCGCGCGAAGGAGGCTAACAGCTAGAGATCAATTTGTACATCAAGCTGGCAACGAGAAAAGACTTCATTTAAAGAAACAAGAAATTGAAGTTTACCTTAGTCTCTTCAAAGTCGTCGGCCTTTTCGGAGTTGTTTTACAATTGTTTCACAAGGATAAGAGTCAAAACTTGAGGACTCTACGATCGTATGACGCGAATAACAACTAAACTAAAAGGCGTTGTTTGAGCGTTGGTTTTACGTGACGTCACTTAATCGCATCCTCTTTTTCCAAGAAAGAAGCCTATTTGATTACAAGGGATTTTGTCGGGAGCCTGTTCGCAGGCTAACACTTTATATGCTATATACTCACTCGGCCAAATACTTCTTGCTGATTTTCAGGGGGCTGTTTTAACTCCAAAATGTTTGGGTCTAAAATAGCTCCTTTTGGGAGCAGTTTTAACTCTTAGATTCTACACCACATTAGAGTAAATGGGAGCTGCGTTTACTCCAGCTTAAGGGTAATGTAACATTTCCCATGGAGTAATTTTTACATTCCTCATAGGGTTGGTATAACTGTATTTCAGGTCCAAAATAGCCCCTTTATTGGAGTGACTTTATAACTCCTAGGTCAAGGTTGTGTTCAATTGGGATCAACCGTTTCAACCGCTACCGGTTTGGGTTGATACGATCGACGTTTCGATCTTAACAGAACACTTTTCTAGCTTTTTCGGATGAAACGCGGTACCAACTCCTGGCTCTAGTCCTTACGGACGCTACACCACTAGTAATCACGCAAATGCTCTTTCAGCCGTCTCGACCTGATTTGAGGCCGGTTGAAAAAATTGATCAACCAAACCGACCGAAAATGGTTTTTTCCTAATAGAACACCAAAAAATCCAACCAACTCAGCCAACCAGAATCGGTTGATCCCAATGGAACGCGACCTTAGAGTGTACTCCAAAACTGGAGAAAACTGGACTCGATATTCTGAAGATTCATTATTAACAGAGGAATATAAAAGCAGAGACCGATACAACATAGGATGATTTTTTTTTACCACAATTGCTCCTAATCACGCAATCTGATTGGCTAATTTCCCGTTGTCGATAAGAGTCCAGACAAAGCTGCTCTGAGAAAAAAAAAACATTTTCTTCGACGTTCATATTTTGGTAAGAAACAAATGGCATGTGGTTTAGCGTTGTCTGTACTCTTATCGACAACGATATACGTCATCACAGTGGTCAAAATTTGTTGTGGACTCACATTCGATTTGTTAATTTTAAGGTGTACTATATTGTCTGGTCAAACCAGCCTTCTTGAGTTACAGTGAGAATTTTACATAAGAAGGAGTGTTCATGTAGTATATTTGGGTAATACCGGTAATACGTAAAATACGTGTGAATAAGGTAAAATAAAATAGTGAAATAACATAATAACAGGAAATCACTAATATGTTTCTTCGTGGATGTTAAGAGCATCGTAATCAATTGTTCTGCCTTTTTGAATTAGAAAAGCTTCCCTGGACTTACGGATCAAGTCTCGTTTGAATACGTCCCAAATAAAATGCCTCTAAAAAAATAGTTGCCATGGGAACCTGCACGTTTCAGTTTGATTACAAGGGGAGAAAAAAACCTGTGCTATAGTACTTCAGTTTTCCCTAAATTCACCTTCTAATTATGCAAACGTTTGCTTGGAGAAGTCGTTCCATGGCATGCATGAACAGTTCGTGCTAAGAAAAAAGGGAAGGCACGGTAAATGCATATGTCCTAAGTAAGAGGCTTGCTTAACCTGCCATTTGAAAAATATTATGGTAGTTTTAGGAAAGTCTCGAATAATTTTTTTGGGAAACGTCACCACGTTTGGAGATATCGAGGTGCAAGGTGTCTACATGTTTTTGTAGACGTGGTTGTGTAAGCGAAAGTAATGCGTGGAAGATTTTGAATTCGTGAGCGAGAGCCATGCAGAATTCATGCAAAAGAGTTCAGTATTTTTCAAAAAGAAGAAAATTTAGGCTTGTCACGAGTTGATCTCTCGCCTATTCATCTCCCTCGAGTGACATGCTAGGGAAGAATGACTGAAATTAAAATATGCAGTCTAACAATATGCCTTCAGTTTACAAAAAACAAAGCTTCAGTAGAAACCGACGAACGGATGTTTGTTTACTTTGAAAAATGATAAGATGGCCTCTTCACGAGTGAGTACGCAACTTCGTATATGAAATAAAATATTTTTCGGGAATAAAAGATTAGTCGAATACAGAGTATTTCTCAGCACAGGATCTCACCAGCTGATTTTCTATTGTGGGCAAATAAATAAAAAAAATAAAAAACCCTCTAATAACAGCACACTTCAATACATTTTGAAAGAAACCAAACAAGTGCAGATGCAATGAAACCAAATAAGGTATGTAGTGTTTATTCTATTTATAATGAGCGAGCTACCACTGGCGTAAACTCTATGGACAAAACACACAAAGCTAATTCAATACTAATGAAGAAAGGAGCTATTTACCTCTCTCGCAATACGAGAGAGGCAAATGGCTCCTTTTTGCATGTATCAATGAAAGAAAGTACACTAAAATGGATCAGAATTTCTGATTCACTCTGGCTGCAGTTAAGTGAATTTGGTTCTAAAACAAGACACTGCACTGAGGTTCCGTGAAACGAGTAACTTCTTTGTTATATTCGTTGAAGCAAGGTAAGAAAAAGACTTGCCTAACGAGAGGTATATCACAAAGGAGTGAAGGACTTTTAAAGGATTACTGATATCAAGTTCTAAATAAAAATTCCTATCAGGGCTTCAAAAGGATAAGAAAAGGTTCTTTCTGTAGGTTGTCTTACGGGGTTCCTTATACATCGTGTTTATAGAATTCACCTGGAGTTCTGCTCAGATTAAAACAGTAAAATGAACATCTTTGAAATCCTCGGTCTTGTCTGATCTAATCTGCTCTGCTCAACTCTACTCTTCTTTGCAATACGTTGCTATATTCTATCTACTCTGCCGACTCCTCTCTCCCCTTAATTCTCTCCTCTACTCTTCTCTGCCGACTCCACTATCTTACTCAGCTTTGCTCTGCTCTGCTCAGCTCTGCTCAGTTCTACTCTTCTCGTTTTGCTCTACTTCTCTACTCTATCTACTCTGCCGACTCCTCTCTCTTCTTAATTCTCCACTCTACTCTTCTCTGCCGGCTCTAGTTTACTCTGCTCCGCTGTGATCTACACTGTTCTGCTCTGCTCTACTTTGCTTGGCTCTATTCTACTCTACTCTATACGATTCTACTCTATACTACTCGCGATCCTTAATCAGCCAGTAACAACTCCCATGCTAGACTGGATACCATCAACCACAAACATATTTGCATGCTTGGCACTGCAGAAACTTCAGGGCAAGGTACCGGGCACTGTCCCAAAACCAATGGCTCCACATCATCTTCATCATCAGAAGATTTACCTAGAATGAATAATATCCATTTTTTATTTACTACAAAAAGGAAGAGAAGACTACTTTGATACAATCCTGGATACTTGCACTACTTAGAATACTTTGTATTATTGTAATATTTTTTTTGAGTGCTTATTTATCTCCCTAGGTGGAGGATAGAGAGGGAGGCAAAATCACCATTTTGGCTGGAGTCAGTTTTCTCATAATACGGCTTACCGGAAAAGAAACATTAGTCTTAACTTTTGAATCCTTGTATTGATTTTCAGGCAGAAATATCACACGTATAGTAGCAACACGAACAATCAAAATTTGGATTACTTGACGAATTGTAGTTGGGTCGAAAAGATTTGAATTGTAACAGTTTCATTAGACGTGAGAATTGCAAACAATTTTTTACTGCAATTTGAGTGTGCTTGTATTCGATTCAGAACTCATATTCGGGCGTTGTGAAACTTTTCGGGCAAGTACGAGGGCAACTCTAGCTTCTTGAGTTCTCTTCAAACCTACCAAGTCCATCGTAACTCGATGTTGCAAGCTAAGGCAAGCCATGAATTAATTGCTTTAGAACATTGTAAATGGAAATGACGAAGCGGAGTTACCTTTGCTCACGCCATGAGGGTGCACTTTTGAATTCACGTCTAGATATCCGGCTGCGTTAATAGCGCAGTTTTCTGCCAGCTATCTTAGGACATAACTTCGATAACGCTTTAATGAAAGTAAAAGGGTTAAGTCTGCATATGAGCCAAGTGGTCCATCAGGCCGGCGCTTATCTCATCAGCTTTCTGCAGCATGAGGCAACTAAATATATTTCTACTCCCCCTGGATTTGTATGCTAGGCCATCCCAGGGCTATCCCCAGCATGAAATTCACCGCTACCCATTTGTACGCCTGGGTAGAGAGAGGCACTGCGAGGGGAAAGTGTCTTGTTCAAGAACACAACATAGTGTCCCACACAAAAATATGTAATCTCAAGGGTCAACCAGATTGAAGTGCAACGAAAGGGCCTCGCCCTGAGAGGACTACCTCCTTGATCACGGTACCTGAGTGCGAGCACACTAATGACGAGGCCACCGGGCCTCCACAAAGTACTTACCATTTTCGTCCACATCCTCATATTCATAACCGAACTCAGAAGACTTCTTGAACATCTGCTGATGGGTGTACAATGGGAACAATGGCACAATGACGTCGTGCTTGTTATGGCCAATGGGTGCGTCCGAGACTGAAAGAACAGAGGCGTCTTTGTTGTGCTTGCGAAGCCACTTTTCATAGATGCGATCCACGAAAGAATGATGGAGAGGAAAAATTGGATCATTGGATGCTGAGGGTACATCTCCCATGGCTCCCCCGACGACGATGTGAACCTGGTTGTGCAAGGTGTGGACGTTGGGCAAACGATATCCAGTCTTGGTACTGGCGTAACCTTCAAGGATGTTTTTGAAATTGCAGCTCGACTCTTTGCTGTAAGGCGGTTGGTCGAAGGTTTCAAAGCGGAGAGCAAAATTGACTTCGTCTTTGCTTGGAAAAGTCATTGTGTATCCTTGGGTCTTGGCTTTATTTTCATTTTCCTTCTTCGTCGAACGTTCCAATCCGGGCTGCCGAATTGTAGGATCACACATTGTCAAGAGGTTATTGGTTTGTTCTGCGGTACAAATGACGTACCAATCTTTAAAATATTTGCCTTTCACTACGCCGTCTTCTTGTTGTGTCACGCCAAGTAAATTTTGGGAGCAAATGGTAGGATCACACTCATCTTTATTTGTGGTCCAATCCCAGAAAGGAAGGGAAAAATTATCATCACTTGCAATTTCCTGCAAGGTTCTTTCCCAGACAAGCATGTACAGTCGATGCCACGAAGGAAATCCCTGGCCGTCATGCGCAAAGTCAATGGCTGAATCTGTTTTGTTGTTTGGATGAATTGTGTCACGTGCTGCGTAATAATGCATCCACACGAACAGGTCATAGTTGGTGATGTTGTGAAACAAGGACGCGGGGTCTCCGCCAGCTTGCACGGTTCTGTTGATCTCTTCATAGGGAGTCGAAGTCACCACATAATCAGTTATAAAGTACTTGGACATGTTGATGTATCTCATGTAGCGATCCTTCTCCTCAGCTGACAATTTGGCAAAATTCTTCCTCGTCAGGGTCTTCTTTTGGGTGCAGTTGTTACCATAGTAACCAAACTCGCACTTGCTGCAGTCATAACCGGCGAAGTTTGATTGGCATTTACAGGTTTTGTGGTAGAGGGCATTTGGCCAGTCGTGACGCTCGTCTTGCAACTGGAATGTCTTGAAATGACTGTAGGTAAAATTCCATTCACGAATCATTAACTCCTGGCACGTGCCTCTGTTGCCATCGCTACCGCAAGGCGCACTGAAGCCCTTTGGGATCGGACAGCACTCTTTGCTCTTCAGGCTGTCGAGCGTTGCGCAAGCCCTAGGAAACTGGCCTTCTATCCAGGGTAAACTTACAGCAATAAAATAAAGCACAAGCCAAGTGAAAGTGACTCTGCGGCTCATCTTGAACTTCCTAAAGCAATAAAAGCGAAGATCTTTTATTTCCAAGCAAGTTGTAAATTAGCAGGAAACAAAAAAAGAGGCATACAACGAGCCTCTTTGTCAGGAATACCGGAATATAATGCATGCCATGTGTACTTTGTGCGTACTAAAATATGCTGTAATCAATTAGCTTATTTAAATCCCTGCGGTAAATACTTTTTCTTGCGATTTCGACGAACTCAAGACAGAATAGAGGGTCTGTGGACAGGCTAAGGCAAAATACTTGACTAACGGATTGGATACTTGAGGATTCGTTTTGTTTGAACAGTTCATAATTAGTGATTGGCGCGTGAGCATTTCAATATATTAAAGTCCTCATACGAAGTTCTTACGAGATTGCACTACACGAAGTTCTCATAAGTTCGTTTTGATACTGTGAAGAGTCGTTGCAATGTAGTGCTGTGGGAAGAAAAAAAAATTAATACAACGTCTCCGCTACTTATCATGAATACACGAGGAACGGTATACAATTCAACCCAAGCCCAGAATGGTCTGCTATCACTGAGGATTTCAGACTACGAGCAGGTCCGATGTTTTCTTAATCCGTCGAGCGTGACGTGAAAGAACGCGTGCCTCCCTTCCCCCACTGTCCCCCTACCCCTACCCCTTCCGGTAGGGGAGGCCGGTTTCGGTGAGTTGAATGTTCATCCTACTAGGGTCGAACCGGCTTCTACAACGTAACAAGTGGTTTTTAACACTTTATTCACTTTATTAAAACTTAACGGCAAATACTTTTGCAATCTCGACAAACTCAAGACAGAATAGAAAGCCAGTAACGCAGCTTGGTTACTTGAAGATTCGTTTTGTTTGGACATTTTACAACAAGTGATTGACGCGCGAGCCTTTCAGTATATTCGGCAAGTGAATGTACATTCAACTTTGACCAGTCCTCATTCGAAGTTCTGATAATTTCTTTTCGAAACGAAGAGTCGTTGTAATGCAGTAAACAAAAATTTATTAATACAAAGTCTCGAATTTTACTATACCGTATTTAGTGCTTGGCTACTTATCAGAATTCACGAGGAAAGGTGTGCAAATCAACTCAAGTATAGAAAGTTCTGCATAGACTGAGGATTTCAGACAACGAGTAGCTCCCATATTTTCTTGGTCCGTCGAGCGTGACGCGAAAGAACGTGTGCCCTCCGTCCCCCACTGTCCCCTCCCTCCACCACTTCCGGTAGTGGAGGCCGGTTTCGGTGAGTTGAATGTTTATCCTGTACTACGGTGAAACCGGCTACTATAGCGTAACAGGTGGTTTTTTTAACACTTAATTCACTTTATTAAAACTCAACGAAGGACACTTCGAAGGAAATTTTTTAGCGCGAATTTCACATCCCTACAAACTGCTGTAGTTGGCCGTTGCTATGCAAATATCTTATAGTCTCGTGAGGCAGCTTGAAGCGCGAGTGGGTGCATGTCTATGCAGAAAAAGCATCAACTTCCTTGTCCTTCGAGGACTGATCGCTACAAGCGAAGGAAAAGTACCGAAACAAGAAAGTATGAATGTAGAAGATTTGTTTTTGTTTCATTTCATCATGAATTTCCGAGAAAGCGCTTACCGCATGCATTACTTTGTTTATACCGCTTTTGGAGATTCTGTTACAAAACTGATATCCTCAGTTGCAATGTTAAAATTTCGGTTTCAGTTATCACCCTCGGCAGTTCTGACCCTGTTTTCATATTTTTGAAGAAACTCGTCGTCAACCTTCGGCGTTCCAATAACTGCATATGTAAAGACTTCGGTGAAGAGGTCGCGCGAAGGAGGCTAACAGCTAGAGATCAATTTGTACATCAAGCTGGCAACGAGAAAAGACTTCATTTAAAGAAACAAGAAATTGAAGTTTACCTTAGTCTCTTCAAAGTCGTCGGCCTTTTCGGAGTTGTTTTACAATTGTTTCACAAGGATAAGAGTCAAAACTTGAGGACTCTACGATCGTATGACGCGAATAACAACTAAACTAAAAGGCGTTGTTTGAGCGTTGGTTTTACGTGACGTCACTTAATCGCATCCTCTTTTTCCAAGAAAGAAGCCTATTTGATTACAAGGGATTTTGCAAACATTTTATGAAATGTCTGAGAGAGTTCACGAACAACATCTGTATATATTCCGCTGAAAGTAGTATTCGACTAAGAAAACGTTTGGATACTACTTGCTCGACTAAAAATTAGCATACTATTTGCACGTCTGTCTGGATTTTCTGTGTCACGGCTACTTCAACATTTAAACTATACACAATTATGAAAGGTCTAGATAGCAGCAGACATGTAAATATTTTAACGAAAACGACCAATTTTTTAAGTTTGCAAGACATGTTTCGACAGAGCTTCTGTCATCTTCAGTTGAATGAATGTTTACAAAGCAAGTTGAATAATAAGTAGGCAAAAATGCTAATTAAGACAAATAGTAACAACAAGAACGTGAAAAGGTGTAAGTTAAAAGGATAATTTTAGATTTACATGGTGTAATTGCTGATTGAGGGAAGGTAGTTGAGAGCAATTGCGCTTTACGACAGCGCTCGATGGAGCGGTTTAGACAGAATCGAAATGACAAGTTCAGTAGAGTATGTCGGTAACATTATAAGGTTTGCGCTTCTAAGAAACAGTCAAAAATAATCCAGAAATACTGCCTTTCATTATTTATTAATCAGTAACCAAAACCTTATTATTAAGATGGGTAGCCCTATCAAAGAATGATTTCTAAGAAACAAGGGATGTTCTGTTTAATGTGTGTTATGCAATTTTCTTTTCTTTAACTAATTTCCCTCCATAGCAGACTAGCATATCAGAAAGTTCATGATCACCAACAAAAAAAACTGCTAAGGAATCTCCGATCGACGTCTTCCACCACAAAATTACTATCGTTTAATGTGCTGAAAGTTATGCTCCCAAAAACGATTAATTAATCCTGGCTATTCCGTGAGGCGGATTCTGTCGCTCATTAGGCCACGAAGAGGTTATCTCCAGCTTCAAGCTTCAATTCGGAGTACAGTCTGTGCAGCACGCGAAGGGAACTCGAGCGCAAGCGAGAGAAAAAGAATTCTCGCCCCGTTTAATACCTCTTCTCGTCTGTCACTTCGCTTTTCAATAACATATTCGAACTCTGCTCAATCAACGACGGTTTCGTGCTTTGCTGGCCACAATTATCTCAGCAGACCTTTCATGAAACACATCAGCGGGACAAAAGGTCGACGCGTTGGTAGAGTTTGTTTCTTTATTGGGCCCATTGAAGTTGTTGTCGTAAATGTCGACTCGTTATCGTGTTTTTGAAAGGCGAAAGGCGCACTGTTATATGAGACAGGTGTCTTCGAACAGGCCAGGGAAACAACACGAAATAATAATTACGAATTAGCCCATTTGCTCCTCTAGATTGCTGCAAGCTTCAACGTTTGTGCCTTGTTTAACAATTTAATTTTTCTCTTCAAGTTTTGTTGGCCGAAAAAAATACATACGCCGGGCTAAAGGACCTAGTTTACCTAACACCGAAAATATTCTAAACCGGCTGTAAATTCATTTTAATATTTGGACCAAAACTGACTAGAAATACAAAGAATGCGACATATCGTATATTGTATTTGTAAAATGGAAATGGAAGGTTTACAAACGGCGGCAAACTGCAACTCAAAATAAAAACATAGGCACGCAAGGCGTGCAACAGTTATTTTTTTGTGAATTAAAAGCCCCCGGAGGTAGCAGCACCCACTCTTAACAGTTATGATGAGGTTAATCCAACAAGTTTGTTTGGTTACAATGTACAGCGCAGGAAGAAAAAAATAGGATTTGTTTCACGGTAGGTTCAGCATACAAAACGTTCTTTAGTTCCTATTGTGTAATCGTCCATCGTCTGGGTGAGGGTAGTTCTGGAAAGAACTGTTGTTGGTGACTGGCGTCTCGACAACTTGAGCAGAAGACATCTTCAGAGTCAAGTGAATAGTTTGTCAGTAGATGGTGTTACAACTCTGCTCCGTTGTCTGAGAGAGTTCACGAAGAGCATCTGTATATATTCCGCTGAAAGTAGCATTCGACTAAAAAAACATTAGCATACTACTTGCTCGTCTGTCTGGAGTTTCTGTCTCACGGCTACTTCAACATTTGAAATCAACATAATTATGAATAACGTAAGTTCAGAATTATTGCTGCATGCTTAAGCAAATATGGACAAGGTTGCTAGATCTTGCTAATGAGCTTTGAGATTTCGAGAAATTTCGTTTGTCTGCAGTAAAATCGGCGTTTGAGCCCGGGCGTTTGAGTTATAGAAATTGGGCTTTACAACCACTTTGCATTCTTGAAGCATAACAAGTTTAGTAGAGCATATCGACAACATTACAAGGTCAGAGAATGTCAGTTCTAAGAAGCAGTAAAAAATAACCTTTCATTATTTATTAATCAGTGACTAAAAACTTATTTTAAACATGTGTAGCCCTATCAAAGAATGAATTCTGGGAAACAAATGCAAAGGATGTTCTGTTTTTTTATTTTTTTATTTTGCAGTTTTGATCCAAAAATTAAAATGAATTTAATAGTTTAGAATTTTCGGTGTTATCTAAACTATTGCAGGCTCTCAGCCAGGCCTAGGTTTTTAGGCAAACAAATTTAACAAATTGTTAAAAAGCACAAAAGTTGAAGCATGCAGCAAGAGCCCGTAGAGGACTAATAACTCTAATTCGTAATTACTCTTTCGTCTTGTTTCCCTGACCTGTTCGAAGACACCTTTCTCGTTATACTGCACCTTTCAACACGAGCCCTGAAACACGTCGAAATTTACGACTAGTCTACAGCTAACGAACCTTGAAATAAAGAAACATTTACTCTGCCAACGTATCGACCTTTTTGACCCCGTTGAAGTGTTTCCTGAGAAGTCTGCTAAAATAATTACACAGCGAAACACGAAACTGTTGATTAGCCAAACTTCGTCTCACGCTTGTGCTCGAGTTCCCTTCGGGTGTTGTACAGACAGTACTCTTAGTTGAAGTTTGAAGCAGGAGGTAATGCAGGAATCGGGGATTATCAGAGCTCCTTGCTGCCCTAATGAGTGGCACCCGCCTTACAGAATAGCCAGAAGACCAACTCAGCTTCAGCATGAATCCGTTTGAGGAGCATGATTTTCAGAGGAATAAACGATAGCGATTTTGTAGTGGAAGACGTGTTGGTGATCTTGGTGATCTTGTTGGTGATCTTGGGAAAATAAAATATAACTGATAACAAGTGCAACGAATGCAACCTGATATATTGTATTTATAATATGGAAATAAGGGAAAGTTCACAAATGGTGCCAAAATACAACTGAAAATAAATTACCTAATTGGATGGGTTCCTTCGATTCCTTAAAATTTGAGAAAAATATCAGACTGCCGGTCATTCAGTGATTTTAAAACCTTGACCGGCTGCCGGTCATTTAGCCACAGCGAATAAATTAAGCTATAGGCATTATTCTACAGTGGACAGATATACTGGAGAGCACGACAACATTTCAATGTCTTTTTCCACGCTTTTTCCGGCTCTGTTTAGGTCTAAATAAAGTAAAAATAAAAGAGTATTGGCGCCAGTGATCGATTAATAAAATTTGTCACTAAAGCCAAGTGAAACAAAGAATAAAAACAGGATTATGGAGCCCCTCCATGGCCCCGTGCATTTGAAGGGCAAAGCATCGAGCGTGATTAATTTGCACATCAAGGAGGCAGCGTGGCCGAGTGGTCTCGCAGTCTAGCGGTCCTGGTACCGGTTCGAGTCCCGCTCTGACCACTATCTCGGTAGCCCCGAGTTCAAATCCTCGGCCATGCCTCTAAGGCCCTCTTTACAAGATCCCGGGTTGCTTTTTACCCCGGGTTGAATCACCGCGGCGGGTAACCCTTTTGCAGCCAAATGTTTATAAGCGTTTACATGAAAACAGTAGTCAAGCCGGGTCAGACTCTCTTGCCGGGTAACCCTTGACGAGACTCAGGTTGACCCGGCGAGAAGGGTTGAAATTTCTTCAATTCTTACATGTAAATAGTGGGGAAAAAGTTGACCCGGGTTGGTACTTTCAGTCAAATAACCATGTGTTTCTTTTTTGTTTTTGTTTTTTTTTTTTGGTTTGTACATCAGAACCTTCCGCCATTTCGTTATACTTTCTAGGTTTTTTGTTTGTCCTCTTTCTAGCCCATGTTCCAGTTTTTGGTCGGTAGAAAGGCTGGCCCGGGTCAGGCTCGAAGCAAACCACACGCTATTGCAGACTGACAACCCGGATTGGTGTAAAGTGCTTATATTTAGCACTCTCTGCGGTGATTCAACCCGGGGTCGTGAAAAGAGGGCCTAAATTGCCAACTGGTTTGCCTCCGGCCAGTTGGGATTCTTAACAATGTTCAATTTGAATGATTTGTTTTAGTTGCTTGCTCAGCCCCAATAGCACTTGTGCTGTGAACACTGCCGAGGGTAAATAAAGGTTATATATATATGCTGGCAACGAGAAAAGACCACCAAACACCAAATTGAAATTTACCTTTATCTCTTCAAAGTCGCCGGCCTTTTCAGAGTTGTTTCACAAGGATAAGAATCAAACCTTGAGAACTCTAGCCGGCCTTACACTCTGCGGTTGTGTGAAGCGAATAACAGCTAAACTAAAAAGCGTTGTTTACGCGTTGTATTTACGTGACGTCACTTAATCGCATCCTCTTTTTCCAAGAAAGAAGCCTATTTGATTACAAGAGATTTTGAGAACATTTTATGAAATGTCTGAAAGAGTGCACGAACAACATCTGTGTCACGGCTACTGAATAATTTAACTTCAAAATTGTTGCTGCATGCTTAAGCAAATATGGACAAGGTTGCAGAGATCAATATTAGGGCCTAAATTTTTCTTCAGGCTTTAATTTCATAACTGCGATGATCAATCATATCTTCAAGGTTGCTAGATCTTGCTAATGAGCTTTGAAATTTCAAGAAATTTCTTTTGTTTACAGTAAAATCGACGTTTGAATTTAAGGAATTGGGCTTTGCGACGGCTGCTCAATGGAGCGGTTTAGACAGAATCGAAATGACAAGCTCGAGTAGAACGTATCGGTAACATTACCAGGTTAGTGCTTCTAAGACACAGTAAAAAAAATAATCCAGAAAAACCGCCTTTCATTATTTATTAATCAGTAACTAAAACCTTGTTATAAGGATGGGTAGCCCTATCAAAGAATGATTTCTGAGAAGCAAGGGATGCTCTGCTTATTATGTTTTTTGCAATTTTGGTCCAAATATTAAAATGAATTTATAGTTTGGGGCCTGTTTAC